CACACGGTCTGTGTGGGGCTCAGGGCACTATGTTCAGCCAGCTGTGGTGGCTGGTGAGCCATAGTGGAGCAGCATGGGAGATGAGCTCCGGCAGTTGTGGGAGGTGCCAGCTCAGCAGTTGGGTTGCCATTCTTTGTGTCCATTATTGGGCACAGGGGGCTGTCTTGGTCCTCAGAGCATCCGTCAGGGAGCAGTGCGGGGCCTTGGCTGCCTTGCTGGAGCAGGAGAGCAGAGTCCCACATCTGGAGAGTCTTAGCTGCTGCATGGGGCCGAGCGGTTCCCAGGTGGAAAGTCTCCCGTGGGCTTCCTTTATAGGGCCGGTGTTGAGCCCTAAAGGCTCAGCTGCTGCTCAGGAGCCCCGGGATGGTCCCCTTGGGGGAGAGCAGCAGAGAGAGTCTTGGATCGGGTGACAGCTGGTGTTTACTTTGTGCTGAGATGTGTTAAAACACTTCAGGGTTCTTTCCTTTTTTTCAGTCGCATTGAGCTGCATTGAGCTCCCAGGGAAGGGAAGGGAAGGGGAGGGGAGGGGAGGGCAGCTGCTGTGCCTCCTTTCCTCCTTTTCAGGACTCTGTGAAAAAAACCGAAGCAAAATATGGCAGGGAGGAGCCACGGGGCTCCCGCGTGAGGATGCCCTGTGCTCAACAAGCTCCTCGTCTGGCCCAGGGAAAGAACCACTGGGCTCCTACAGGAGAGCCGCCTTGGGAGCCTTTTTGTCCGCTCTCCCATTGGCTGGGGAACGGTTTGGCTGCTGTGTGTGTGTGTGTGTATTCCGAGCTCAAGCCGCAAGGTGCCCTTTAAGGGCCCATGAAGGAAGTGAGCCCCGGGGCGTCATGCTTGGCCTCGCTGCCTTTGGCTTCCCGGAGCTCTGGAAGATGCCGTTGGGCTGGGAAAGTGACAGGAGGAGCGGGCATCGCCCAAGTGGCAGCCCAGAGTGCAGGGTATTCTCCAGCCCTCGGCTCCTTCAAAGGCTCCGTGCATCTCTGGACCTTCAGAGCCGGGGTGCAGCTTGACAGGGTTGGGGGTGCGTCCCGTGGCCCTCCCTGAAGAAGCTGCTTTTGAGGTTTGGGCAGAGCGGAGTAGAACCCCTAAGCAGGCAGTTCCGTGAAGGGAGCCGATCCCATCCGCCCCCCCCCCCTGAGCAAAAGAGGGGGGGGGTGTCTTGGGGGTCTTGTCTCTCTGCACCTGGGATTGATTTCTGCTGCCCACTTGCACATCTGTGAGCAGCTTCTTTGCCACCCCAGACCCAGGAGGTCAAAGGCCAGAAATGTCTATCCAGGAGCCCAGAAGCAGCGGGATCCTTCCCTCCCTCTGGTTTGGTGCTGGGGAGCCTTTTAAATGCCTCTCCTTTACTTTAAAGCTAGAAGACAAGGGCCTCCTCCTCCTCCTCCGCCACTGGGAGGGCAGTTGGGGGAAGAGCCCCCCCCCCGCCCCCAGCAAGGGCTCTCCTCCTCCGAGGTCCTCATTTCCACAGCATCCTCCACCTCTGTGCTCCGGAGCTGCCTTCCCATTTCCCAAACTGGAAAAAAATATGTGTTCCTTGTTATAAATCCAAAATCACATTGCAGGTTAGCCTGAATGGAGGAAGGACCAAACATTCCTGATTTGCTTGTAGAGTTTTGAGTCTGAGGGTATCAAGAAGCTGCCATTCAAAACGTACCGGAGGCAAAAACTGGGAAGGAAGAAGGCTGCTGGGCTGGGAGTCTTGGGGGTTGCTTAGCACGGACACTGGATGCTCAGGGAGCAAAGGGGGGCCTGGCTGATAGGTGCTCTGGACAGGAGGGATTCCCATGGCAGGTCAGGAAACGCCACAGAGGCTGCTTCTTCCGAAGGGGCTTCTCCGTCCCCACGAAGGCCTCTCTTAGTTCTCTCTTCGGCCCTTGCAGAAGCAACCCCTGGGCTGCTTCGTAGATCAAAGGCCAGCTTTAATGCGCCCCAATGCATGCACGGGAAAAGCAAATGGGCTCACAGCTAAAACCGTCTGAGGAGGGTCTCTTGGCTTAAAGCCCCCCCCCATCCCCAACTGCTGGGCTGCTTGCGAGAGACAAAAGCTGCCTGGCCACACAGAGCCCACCGGGGCGTGAGTGCGCCCGGCATTCCCGTGGGCCAGGGGGAGGTTGCCAGGGTCCCTGGCTGACCTCTGGGAGCCCAGGCCACACTTGGAAGCACCAGGCAGCCGCTTCTCCTGCTCCGGCCAGCGCAGCTGACCCCACCGCTTCCCTCCAGTCTCCAGATTCACATTCTTTTGTTGGGGGGGGGGAGGCGGACATTGCTGAGGAAGGCTATTCATCTGCTCAGAAGAGGAGGGGTCCGGCAGAGGAGGGGGGGGGCTTGGGGTCACCAGGGCCCCCCCCAGCTTGGCCGGCCATCAAAGAAGATTGAGAGGGGGCCTCTTTTTCTCCAGCTCTACAAAGAGATGGACGGCTCGGGTTTCAAGAGGGCAGTTCTCCTGGCCCTCTGCTCTCTTGCACGGAGGCCGACCCTGCAGAAATGCTGCCCCCTGAGCCTGCCCCTCCCCCCCAGGCCCCCTGCACAGCCTGCCCTGCTTCCCTCCCCTCCCTCCCTCCCCCCCCCCCCCGGGGGGGCCTCCCCCCACCCCCCCCCCCCCCCTCCCCCCCCC